AGGGGAAGGGTAAGTGTCTCGGGGTGGAATGAAGATTTGTGAAGTGTAAAGAAGTGAATCAGTTATCAACTACAGAATTTACTGAGACTTTTCATGAGCCAGGCATTGTGTTCCCCGCTGTAGGAAATACCGAAGCAGAAGCTCAGTTCTGGATAGAAGAGACCTTCCCCCTCAAGCAGGAAGACAAGACCAGGACAAAAAAGTAGAGGCTATCAGCTGAGCGCTGAATACATCTGTGAAATACAAACAAAACCAAGACAGTGCTTAGAGGAAAAGGTAGAGTTGGGTGTGGAGGGGCTCCCAGGTAGTCTGAAGGTAGGACTCCGCAGGTGGTCTTCAAGGATGTGGGGGATCTGGCTGCGTGGAAATAAGGAAGACATTCCAGACAGGGTTACTGAGGCAAGGACATGGAAGCAAGAAAAACATCTCTAGGGGACAGTACTGAGGGCTGCTTTACCAAGTACCTTCCTATGGAAGATAGGAAATGAGGGGAATAATAAAGCTGCCCTGAGCCTGGGCAGAGCCATGATTAGATGCAGCAGGAGCCCGTCTGGGGAAAGGTTCTGGGCAAGGAGAGGATTTGCCTCTGGGAAGGAGACAGTGGGCCCAGATGGGTGAGTGGCAAAGTGCACACAGAGCCCTGCACTCCAGGCTTCTTGCCTTTCTCCAGCTCCTAGACTTCAGGGATGGCCACCTGGCATCCTGGGCCCAGCCACGGAGCAGGGGCTCCCACTTCCTCCATTCGGAGGGGGGGGTGCAGGTGATGTATGCCTGTATATACTGTCAAGCCCCCATTCCCTTTATCTTTTTGCATTCTCTAATCCCCCTGCTCTGCCAACTTTCTCTCATGGTACCACACAAAGGGCACAGCATTTGACCCCAGAGTCAAGTCCCAGCTTGAAGGCCTTTACCAGAGTGCGGCTCCAGGCCTGCGTGGTCTCGTCTGCAAAGCGAAGCCCACAATGTCAGCTCTGCCTGCTTTAGGCAACGTCAAGCTAGGCAGTGTCAGGGAAAGAGCCGCACAGTTATTCAGAGTGCAGAAAGTCCCATCGCACCCCCACTGGGGGGCCCCACCTGGGGTGTCACCTGGGGGTGGAGCACAGACTCTCCAACCCCAGCAAGGAGGCAGGGAAGCTCTCCCTCTACTCAGCAGAAGGAAGGCTTTCCTTCCCTTCGTGACTCAATCTCCCTTTTCCGCAGCATGAGGGAAATTGCTTTCTTCCCTTCTTTCTGTTTCCAGAGTCAGGGAAGGAGGTAACCCTGGAACCTGTGTGCGGCAGGCAGGCCAGCCTGACAAGCGGGTGGTGACACAGAGCAGGTAGAAGAGAGAAGCAGTGTGAGCATGCAGTGGGCGCCTGCTTGGTCCTAAAGAACCACGGCCCCTCCTCCGTGAGCTTCCCCAAGCCAACTCTGCCTTGGGGTGGCTGGAGACCGTTCCAGGGAAGCGGGGGAGCGGGAGCAGGTCCCTGTCAGGGCCTCACCCTGGCTTGGCCCAGAGCGCCGAGCTGGCCACTCTTTAGAAGAAGCAGCCAGTGCATTTGCTCCACCTGCCACCACCAACCCGGCCAGGCCTGAGGCAGGATGGGGGGATGGTGCCAGGTCTCAGGCCCTGGAGCCTTTGCTCTGACTTTTCCGTAGGCTCAGTACGTTCTGAACAGAAAAGAAATAGCAAAACTGAAAAAAAGCTGCGTGTGTGCTGCAGAGCACGGAGGCCCCTACAGCCGGAATTAGAAGCTGTCGCTTAGGGAGCCGAAGGCTGACAGGAGATGGAGCTGAGGCAGGGAGCAGGCAGGCGCTCGGCACTCCCCTCCCCCTCCTCCCCTCCACCTGCTGAGCCTCTCCCCTTGCAGGCCCCAGGCTGGCAAAAGGGCTTCCTCCTCCCAGAGGCGCTAGCTAGGCTCGGGTCTGCAGTCTGTCATTCTGTCTGTGGCTGGCCCCCCTCCCGGACCCCCTTCTTTCCTCCTCAAGTGTCACCAGCCCCCTCAGCCTGTCACGTTGCACCAGCTCAGCAGGGTTGGGCCTGGTGGCACATGGCTGGGAGATCCAGAGAGCTAGGGGGGGTGGGGGGTGCAGGGGGTGGGGTGAGTCAGCAGGGGACTCTGGTATCTGAGTCAGCAATGGGACTGAGAAGGGGGTAGGGACCCTTCCCTTAATGTAAAAGGGAGGCACAATGACTGGACGGGGAACTTTGTCCCAGCCCCACAGATACACAGCAGGAATTCACCTACCCCGGGCCCTGAGGGAGGGCATTAACTCCTCCCCTGCACATCCCCTGCAGCCAGAAGTGAACTCACTTCCAGGGCCCAAAGACTAGGGCATTTTCCCAGGAGGCACCTCGCCCTTTTTCCAGAGGACAGAAAGCAGGGAGGTGGGTATCTAGGCCTGGCCCCCTGAGAAGCCCCCAACCTGCTACGCAGAGGCCTCTCTAGGAGGCAGGACTGCATCTCCTAGCCCATTCCTGTGCTTCCCAGTTCCACGCTGGGGGCCCAGAGACTCTGCCTGGCCTGGCTGAGAGGCTAGGGGAAGGCAGTTTCTCCTTCCCCCTCAGCAGTCGCTAGCAAAAACTAGGGACTCCCCAGTGGGCTCTCTTTGATACTGGCTCTGGCTTATGCCCACGTGCCTGGGTCAGTGAATTCCTCTGGCCTGGGCCCTCATCCCTGCATGGCTCTACCCCTGGGTTGGCAGGGAGATGGGGCAGTTGAGTGCCCAGCAGGAGAGCTAAAGACAGGGCACGGCTCCAGGGTGCAAGTGTCCACCGTCAGCTGTATCCAGTGTGTATGCAAGCTGGACGTGTCAGTGACAGGCCTTACTGAAGGCACAGGTGCTCAGAGCTAATGGCATTTGTTATAACTCTCTGATAAGAAAACAACCTCTTCCCAGAATCAGTCCCCCGCTTGGCCTCTCCCAAGCCAGTGCCTGTTCCCATCTGGGATTTGGGACCATGCCATAGGTGCAGTGAACAGCTGCCCCACAAACCCCTTTCGAGCAAGTATTGGGTTCAACCATAACTACCTGGTAGAATCTGACCACTCTAAGTCTGCCTAAAGGGGCCCAGGTGGCCTGGAGTTTCACAGCTCCCCAAGAGGGAGGGGGCACCTTTGCACTAGGCTCCTCTGCTGCAGCCCTGAGGATGGAGACAAGGAAGGGCCACGTCTGGATGGAGGGGTGGAGAAGAGGGGTGACCTCATTTTCCAGTGGTTGTGGCATCAGGGCCGGCAGAAGGGGAAGTGAATCCCCTTCAGGCCCAGAAGTGGGGCCATTCCACTGGGCTCTTGAAGGGACCTCACCCTGGGGTTCAGCTCCCAAGAGTTTTTCCCCCAGGCCACTTCATTTCAGCAGCATGGCCCCCCTGCCCCCCACTTCTTGGCTGTAGAACAAAGGCCAGGTTTAGACAGGAAATATTGGGACAGGGTTCTCTTTAGTAGGAGTAAGGAGAAAAATAAATAAACTTCATAAAGTCAGGAGAGAAAATGATCCTGACCTCATCAGGCAGGCTGAGTGGGGGTACCTACTAGGAAGTACCCCCCTCAGGCCTAGGAGAGTGCCCCAAAGGCGTTCCTTAGCCCTCCCTACTAACCAGAGGCCCAGTTGTCTCAGCAGACTGCTGAGGCAGCTTTTCCATGCCAGCCTCCCATCCCCCACAGGCAGGAGGCCAGGGAAGGGACCTCAGCCTGGGATCCTGGAAGCAGCCATCCCCAGGGAGCTTGGAGGTAATGCCAGGCTCTGTATCAGGGAACTGACAAGGAGGCCAACTCAGGACAGGTCTGAGAAGGGGCCTCACAGCAGGAGGGTTTGGAGTTCGGTCCCGTTTGACCTAGAGGCGCTAGAGTGGAGGTTCCAGGGAGCTAGGCCTAGCCCTCCAGGTAAGGACAAGGAGTCGAGAGTGGGGCACCACGAGCTGCACACTAGGGAAGGTGGAGTGGGGCCAGGACCCCATTTCCTGCCTCCTAGTCCATATCCTTTTGCCCTCAACAATTTTATATTTGACACTTAGTCAGAGGCAGAGAAGAAGGATGGAGTAGGAAGTCAGATTGGAGAGGACCTCTAAACCTCAGATGGGCCCCTGCCCTGAGGGTACCTGGTTCCCGCCTCCTCTTCTAGCCTGGCTGTTGAGGAGGGAGCTCCAGAGTCCAAAAGAGCCCCCACTTCCCACAGCCTTAGAATGCTAGGGTCTTTCCTCCTGCGGGGATGGAGCCTCATCCCAGAGAAGAGTGAATGTCCTTACAGAATGTCCCAGTAGGATGAGGGCATCAGAGGTGGCTCTCCTGGACACCCGCCTTTGCTGTGAGTGGGTCCTGCTCACACAGCTCCCCGAAGTCCTCACAGGGCCTCTCAGGCTTGTCCTTGGCCTCAGAGGGTAAGCAGTCCCTGAGGCAGGCCTTCACTGACTCCTTCACCTCAGCCTCCAGGCCCTTCATCCTGGCCTCGTACTCGGCCAGCGCATCCTGCTGGAACTGTGGGGACAATAAAGACCACCACCCGGCTCAGGAGGGGGCCAACTGCCCACTCTCCCTCCCCTGGATAGTCAGACAAGGAGGTGCCCTGTCCGTTCAGCTCTCCCAGGAGACTGGGGTAGGAGGTGAGGGGTAGTGGAGACCGTCAGGGAGCCTCTCAAAGAAGGGGGTGCCAACCAAGCAAAGAGATCTGTAGAGCTGTCTCATCTTAAAGGGCCGCAGGACCCCGTGGGAACCAGGGCCTGTAGCCCACCAGTGAGGGGTGAGTCCCCTTCCTGCCCCCACCCATCTCCCGACTGGCGGCTCCCTGGGGCAGGCCAACTCTGCTGGCGGCCAGGGTGGTAATCCCTATCACCTGCTTTTCCATCTCCCGGATCTGTTCGAGGCAGGCCGCCTGCTTCTCCTCCAGCTTCTCCTGGTGCTTCTCCAGGTTCTCTGTCATCTGGGTGAGAGTGAGAGGCAGGCAGTCAGGACAGCACAGATAGGCAGCCTGGCTTGGAATCCAGCTACAGTCCCAGTTAACCAGCTGTAAGACTTGGGACACATTTGTTAACCTTCAAACAGTTCTTTTAAATGTGTAAAATGAAGATAATTGTCTGTCTTGCTGGGTTGTGCAGGAGACAGTTCATGTAAAGCACCTGGCTTAGAGCCTGCCACAAGGTCGGGATTCAGTAAATGGACCCCGCAGCCCCCCTCGCCTGGTGGCCCCAGCTCAGCCAGCTGTTATTGTTGCTAATAGTCCCAGGGAAGCCCCCCTCACTCCCTCATACCCACCCACCCACCCCAATCCCATCTTCCCCTGGCCAGTTAGCCCCTATCATTTCCATCCAGGTCAGCTGGCCAGAGACAGATCCCTTTAGGCTGGTACCCAACCTCCACACAAAGGCCAGAACCCTGGGATAGCCTGGGGGCTCCTCCTCCCCTTCATTGCCTCCTCCCATCCCCAGCTGCATGGGCCGCTCTGGACTGTGCATCTCCTAAAGACAACATAAAGGCCTGGGGCCTCCCCATCCCTCCTATGTAGAGGGTGAGTGTGAGTGTGTGTGTGTGTGTGTGTGTGTGTGTGAAGGACACAGCTCTTACACACCTGCTTAATGACCTGCACCACCTCCTGGATGTGAGAGTTGTTAATCTCTCTCTTCAGCCTGTTGGGGTGATCAGAGTTTCAGAGAGGGCAGAAGGCCCCTTGGAAGAGTTGGGTAAGACCAAGTTTCTTCAGGGTGTAGACAAAATGAGGACTCCACCATAGGAGCATAACCAGCCAGTGGGGGTAATCGTGGGAAACTAAGGAGGACGTGAGGGGCTGTTGGGAGCTCCAGGGGCCGTCTGAGGAGAGGGCTTCCTCACAAAAATGCACTGTCCTTCACGGCGTGCAGGGAGGGAAAGCTGCTGTCCCAAGGTTTCACCCCCCTGTTTGTATGATTAGTTTTCCCTGAAATTCTCCTCTGTGCTCAGAGTGATGGCTTCTGTGTTTGGCCTAAGGAGGACCAGAGGTGACAGAAATAGGATTAACCTTCCAGCACCAGGGGACAGGTACATCTCTGGGAAGCGAGTCAGGATCCACTTGCAGGGAGGCCCCTTCCCACCTAGAGCGGTCCCTGCTCAGACTGGCCCTGGAGTTTGAGTCAAGGGCTCACCTTTCCTGAGCCATCTTGTCTGAGGTGACTTTGACCATGGCCTGAATCCGCTCCAGCCTCTTGGCCTCCAGCTTTTTCTTCATCTCTTTGGTGTCACTGCAGAGAGACAGGCATCAGGGAGATGTTCCGTGGGGCCTGAGCCCTCCCGGGAGGCGAGACTCGGGTACGGGTGGGAGGCAATCATACGTCTCCAAGGTCTCCTTGAGGGTCTTCAGCTCCGCAGCCTGCTTCTCTCTGGCCAGCTCCATCATCTTGGCGATTTGCTGCGGGGTAGTGCAGGGAGAGGCTTAGCTCCAGAAGCCCTTTGCTGTGCGGAGGTGGGGGGTGGGGGTGTTGGTTGGGTTGTGCCTCCCCCCTCCCGCCTCCCCCAGGCACCTCAGCCACGTGCTGCTCCTTGCGCTTCAGGATGCACTCGTACTGCTCCTCACCCTGCTGCAGCAGCTCCAGCTCCAGCCGGTCCTTCAGCTCGCGCGCACGCGCGTCCGCGCCCTCGGAGCCCTCGCGGCCCTCGCTCGGCGCGGCCCCGGCGGCCTCCTCGCAGGGCAGGGTCCTGCGGAGGCCACGTGGGGACAGGCCTTGAG